ATTTATATATATTGGGCATAAAGTGTGTCTCCTCCTACTCTGCTCTTTCACTTTATCTGGATGGTCACAAATCCTTCTTCACTTTCTTCCTCAAATTTCCTTTTCAAAGCAAAGTGAAAAGAGACTTACTTGAGCTCTTGGTTCAGCGTTCTCCCAGTTCCTTGCAGACCTCGTCTTCTCTCATACTTTCAACGATCCTACTGTCTGACCTAGATCAGTGGCTTTCAGAATTTAATGTGTGTATGACTCCTCTGAGGATGTTGTTAAAATAAAGACTTTGATTCAGTGGGTCTGAGGTGGGGCTTGAGAATCTACATTCCTGACAAGTCAGTTCCCAGGTGAGGCTGCTGCAGCTGCTGGTCCAAGGACTCTACTTGAAGGTAGCGTGTCTCGCTCATCTTTAAAATAATAATAATAAGCCGCAGAATTTCTCTCATTTGACCTTGTCTATGAGTTCATATTCTTTCTTTGTTCTTGTAAATGCCTGGAAGATTAGTCTGCCTTTACTATCTCATTCCTCCATTACTATTCACTTCTTAGCTCACAGTAGCAAACATTATGATTTCCGGCCCACTTTTCCTTTAGTAAAACTCCTGATCTGTAACTCACTAGTAGTCTTTTAATGGTCACATTCAGTTAGGAAGTCTCATTGTCCTTTTTGCTTCTTCTCTGAAGTACGTGCCTTAAGCCTCCAACTCCTGGACTTCTGTAGTGCAGTTCTCTCTGGTTCTCTACTTCTTTCTTTCTCATCGTATCTTCTAACTTCTTTTTCTCTACCTCTGCTTGAAGTATGCCAACATTCCATCATTGACCCTCTTTTCTTCCCCCGCGCCTTCTTTCTGAGTGGTTGTATTCTAGCCTTCAGCTCCAGCTGTCACCTTTGTGCTGTGACTCCCAAATCTGGACCTTTCTCTACCTTTCCTCTTGGCCACCAGTTTTGTCTGTCCATTTATAGTCTAGAAGTCCTGCAGTCACCGCCAACTCTGTTTGATAGAAGAAATAGAGGCTGAAATAATACACAAGTATAACGGTGTGTAAGGAGCCCTACTGGAATAGTGGGTTAATTGTTGACTGCTAACCACACGGTCAGCTGTTCAAACCCACCAGCCACTCCACAGGAGAACGAAGCAGCTGGTCTGCTCCTGTAAAGATTTACAGTCTCAGAAACCCTAAGGAACATTTCTACTCTGCTCACATGAATCTGAATTAATTTGATGGCAGTGGGTTTGGTCTGGTTTGGGAGTGAGTATGTATTTTTTTTTCCTCAAATCAAGTCATTCTGGAATTCAGTGACCCAGGAAAGGTGTGGTAGCTCTATACATCATCCATCCCAGGGTCTTTTTATCTTTCAGCTCTGCCATTCTTAGCATGTGGCTTCTCACGGTCATCTTATGAGCCTCAGTGAGGGTTTGGAGGTCCATCCACTGAATTAACAACTCAGGCAGGAAGTAGGAAGAAGAAAGGACAGATTGCCAGCTATCTGTCTCACTCTTAAAGGGCTTTCCTATAGCTCTTACCAAACGGTTTCTGCTTACCTCTCATCAACTATCCCTAGCTAATGGAGTCTTTTAACTGGGTACACTATTGCTCAGAAAGAAGTCAAGACTCAGGTAATGAGGAAAAGTTGAGGGGAGACATGAATATTGAGTAGGTTCTCACTAGATGTTCTTACCTATTTCCATGACTGCTGCCCTGATTCAAACCTAAGTTACTTCTCACTTGGATTACAGTAACAGCATTCTTATTCACCTGCTTGCTCCCTTCTCACACTACTCTGTCAACTAGCTCTGAGTGTTTCATTCTTCGGCAGAAAAGCTTGCTGGCTCTCCTGGTTCTCCGGTGCCTCTATAGTACCAACCCAAACCCTTTAGGCTGGCTCTGAAGACCATTTGCAGTCTACCTGGAGATGTGACTTTCAGGCTTCACTTCTGGCCAGTCCCCTGCAGGTGTCCGGCACTATTCATTCCAATTCTGGGGCTCTCTGGGACTTGCTCCACACCCCTTGGAGGTTCTGGTCCACAGTAACCCCATATTGCCTACCACAGTTCCTGGCAGAGTCAGTGGTGGCTAGGTGGGGAAGTAAGATAACATAGGAGGTAAAAGAAGATCAAAAAACATTTTTTTTGATGTGAGAAGAGCGTGGTCCTGAAAAACAGACCTGAAGACATAATTCTCGCTGTAAGCCTACAGGCTCATCTAGCCTTAGAAAGCAGTGAGGTTAAAGTGTGTCCATCCTCATCTAAGTTTGTCTTCTCACGTGCCCATGTATCTTGTTCAGAGTTCCATCTCTGGAGTGACTGCTGCGTATAATCGAGAACAGCTTTGGCTGGCCAACGAAGGCTTGATCACCAAGCTGCAGGCGTGCTGCCGTGGATACTTAGTTCGACAGGAATTCCGGTCCAGATTGAATTTCCTGAAGAAACAAATCCCCGCCATCACCTGCATTCAGGTATTTCAGAGCCAGTTATTCAGACAGCATATGGGCTTCTAGCATGGGATAATAAACAGCTGTCACACTTCAGTTCCTGTGTGTCCTTTACTTCTGATCTCTTTGTCTCGTCCTATTTTGACAAGTACTCCCTCTTTCTATCCCTATAATGATAGTCTGCCTGGTAATACAAAATAGTGAGCTTTTCGGCTCAGTGACAGTTCTTATTGGAGACCTCGTTAGCTTCTAAGACTTTCTTTGTCTAAGATTTGAAACTGAAGGGAAAGCAGCCATGGCTTTGCTTCGATGAGAGGGTAGCATGTTATCTTAGAAAAACCTCTGAGTTAGCAATGATAGCCCCACGCTCAGATAGTGGTGAACCTTCTAGGTCTCTCTCCTTAGCTGTCAAGGGAAGATCCTAGTATTTATCTGGAGTCCTGGTGTGGTGCTGTAGGGTAACCACAAGGTTGGTGGTTCAAACCCACCAGCTGCTCCTTGGAAACCCAATACAGTGTTGCTATAAGTCGGAACCAAATCGTCAGCACTTAACAACAAATATTTATCTTATCTTCCTCACTGGACTTATTGTAGGAACAAGTAAGAGAATCTATCTGGTGGATGTACTTTTAAAGTGTGAGGGGCTATACCAACATCAGGGAAGTAGAAGTTAGCTTGTGTTCTCCTTGGGGAGGGGGAGGTACAGCCCACCCACAGTTGCCCTGTCACTGTTGGGAGTGGTCTTTTAACAAGCTTCATCATGTACTTGGATCGTCTGTCAAGATGAGATTTCCTAAACTTCCGCTGATCCTTGGGAAATAATCCATCCTCTATAATGCTTGATGGTTTCAGTCGCAGTGGAGGGGATACAAGCAGAAGAAGGCATATCAAGATCGTTTAACTTACCTGCGTTCCCATAAGGATGAAGTTATTAAGGTATGGTAACCTAAGCAGATTTCTCAGTGTGGGTCACAGAGATGTGATATGTGCTGGCTTGAAGGACTAGTCTAATTTTCAGCATCTCTTTTCGACAGATTCAGTCCCTGGCCAGGATGCATCAAGCTAGAAAGCGTTACAGAGATCGTCTGCAATATTTCCGAGACCATGTAAGTACCCTGTGTTAGTAGGACTGGTGGAACCAGCTTCGCTGTAGTTTTTGATGGACAAATGAACAGAGGAATTCCTTCTTTTTTTTTGTTTCGTAGATAAGTGACATTATCAAAATCCAGGCTTTTATTCGGGCAAACAAAGCGCGTGATGACTACAAGACTCTGAGTGAGTAACTGGCTCAGCAGTGGGGGTGAGGCAGTGGGGGTGAGCCATCAGGTTTTGGGTATTCTCCACTGATCTCTTTTGTTGTCCTAAAGGCAAGGCTTGGGGGTAGGGTGCAACTTGTGATGTAAGCCTTTTGCTGACTGGCAAGATTTCTGTCACGTTCCATATTGGCCTTGGTTAAAACATATTGATAACATGATCAAGAAGACTTGGCTTGTCTCAGAAGAAAGTAATACCCTATATAGTACCACATTTTTTCAAGACAATTTTCCAAAACTTAGAACTTTTCCTGATAATTCTGCTTTGTCTGATACCTACTTTTCTTTTCCTGTCAGTCAATGCTGAGGATCCTCCTATGATTGTGGTCCGCAAATTTGTCCATCTGCTGGATCAAAGTGATCAGGATTTTCAAGAGGAGCTGGACCTTATGAAGATGAGGGAAGAGGTTATTACCCTCATTCGCTCTAACCAGCAGCTGGAGAACGACCTCAACCTCATGGATATCAAAATTGGACTGCTAGTGAAGAACAAGATTACACTGCAGGTACGTCCGGTCAGGTGGGGCCCCGGCACCTCGTCCATCCTGCTCTGTTACCCCATTTCAAACCCTGCTGACTTGTGGGAAGGGTGGAGGTAACCTTTTTTCTCAAAAATGCCACTTTAAGTTATGGAAAAAAATATAATCAAATTTTAAATTGAGAAAAGAAGATAACACTTCTGCCGTACCTCTCTCACCCCACAGTTTGTATTCTATGTTTTCACTTAATTTTAGGAGATAAGATGATTTTCCTATAATCAAGCAGTCATAAATATAATTTTCCACCACAGTGGAGTAATCCATTAGAAGATAAGCAATACTAACATTTACCTCGTTTCCCCACATCTGCCATTACAGTTGTTTCCCTTCTTTTAAGTAACATTGTAAACAATGTTGTTAAGTGCTGTCTAGTCAGTTCCGGCTTATATCGAGCCCATACATGTTTCTGAGGCTGTACATGTTTGTGGGAGCAGAAAGGCTCATCTTTCTCCCTTGGAGCGACTGGTGGGCTGGAATGCTGATCTGTGCCGACCGTATAGAGCCACTTAGCCTTTATTATTAATATTTCTGACTTTTCCCTTAAGTCAGATTCTTACAAGTTGTTTTCCTGGGTCAGTGGACGTTTTGATGGCTCAAGTTCTTTGTAGGAAGCTGGAAGTCAGAGTGGGTCCGACTGGTGTAGAGCACATAGGATACAATGGGTGGTGGTGGTTATGTGCCGTGAAGTTGGTTCCGACTCATAGTGACCCTGTACAGTACAATGGAGTGATTCTAAATTACTTAGTAAAGATCTGGCAGAGTGTAGTAGACCTGCATACAACTTTACAGGTGTTATGACCTTTCCACAATGCTCAAAGTTTCATTTTGAAAGAATTTAAATCTATGTACTGGTGTTTGTTTATAGGATGTGGTTTCCCACAGTAAGAAACTTACCAAAAAAAATAAGGAGCAGTTGTCTGATATGATGATGCTAAATAAACAGAAGGGAGGTCTCAAGGCCTTGAGCAAGGAGAAGAGAGAAAAATTGGAAGCGTATCAGCACCTCTTTTATTTATTGCAGGTGAGTGGTTCCTGGAATTAATAGAGTCAAATTTACCTATGAAAGTTCTTACAAGAAAGCCTTACCAATGGATCTCTGGAAGCATTTCTGTACTATTCAGTTCTCCAAGTTCTTTAAAAATGACTAATTTTTTTTTTTTTTGCCAGTCTTTGTATTGTCTAGAAATTCTTCTCTTGTGGTTTTATTTCAGACCAATCCCACCTATCTGGCCAAGCTGATTTTTCAGATGCCCCAGAACAAGTCCACAAAGTTCATGGACTCCGTAATCTTCACCCTCTACAACTACGCATCCAACCAGCGAGAGGAGTACCTGCTTCTACGACTCTTTAAGACGGCACTCCAGGAGGAGATTAAGTATGAGCAGGCGCAGGCTCTGGGGCCCTACTGCAGGGTCAGAGCCTAACACCGTTACAGAGGCGCATAGTTTGAGATGCAGGCCTGCCTGGACCTTTTCCTAATCTCAGTTAATGCTGTAGTTTGTATGAAATACATGACTCTAACGAAGCATCCACTTTAACCATTGCTAATCTAAAGGGTTGCTGTTTCTGGGAAGGGGGTAGAATAAGACATTCACTAAGTTAACTGTATTATATACATTTTTAGAAACTGACCCAAACACAGGAACCATATGATAATCTCATGATGGGCCCAGTGGTGAGTCCTGTGATTTCAGTTTGCAGCAGCAGCAGCAGGTCCTGCATTTAGAGGAGTGTTGGAAAGTAGTTTTAGAGAAGGCGCACCTGCCCTTTTCCTTCCAGTTAGATCTGTTGTTAGGAGACAAGATCTGTAAGTAGGAAGGGTCTAAGAACTACCTCTAGGTTAATTGATTCTGTGATTAGTTTAAATTCTATTTCTTTTATAGGTCAAAAGTAGATCAGATTCAAGAAATTGTGACAGGAAATCCGACAGTTATTAAGATGGTTGTAAGTTTCAATCGTGGTGCCCGAGGCCAGAATGCCCTGAGACAGATCTTGGCCCCAGTGGTGAAGGAGATTATGGATGACAAATCTCTCAACATCAAAACTGACCCCGTGGATATTTACAAGTCTTGGGTTAACCAGATGGAATCTCAGACGGGCGAGGCAAGGTATGAAAACATATTATGCTTTTTTTCTTTAATGTTGTTACTAGTTTCTGTCCTTTTTTTTTTTATGTAGTTACTCTTTGATTTACAAACTAATAGTAGTTCAAGTCACTATTCTTAGAAAACAGTTCTTCAAATGCTAACCTAGCAATGTAGTCACTTACCCAGCAAATCTTTCTGGAGTTCTTACTATGTGCCAGGCTCTGTTAGATGCTTGAGTACAATGATGAGTGGTCCAGACAGGCTCCCTGCCTGTGTTCAGAGTTTATTTGATAGGAGAGACAGCAAACAGGTTTATAAAAATAATATAATTGGCAAATTGAGGAACGTTGAATAAAGTGTTTTTTTTTAATTTAAGATATATTTTTTGTTTTCAGTGGAAGTTATACACAGCAGATTAGGTTTCCATTCAGCAATTAATTGCGTTTTTCATAGTGTGTGAATATTATTATTAATTTTATAGCCTCTATGCTACCAGAGCTGCTTTCTGGATGAGTAGAGAGCAATAGTTGTATCTTAAGTGGCCATTCATAAGCATTTAAGGTTCTAAATGCTGCTTACCAAACTAGGATGCAGGACATAAGCTTTATGAAGTATATGATGGTAATTGACCAAACTGTCCCATGTAACTCTGGTCCTGAAATATAAACACAGGAAAGCAGTCATGGGAAGTGTCTGGTTACATAGTATAGTGGTGACGAGTCAGGCTGCAGAGCTCATGGTCAGCAGGTCAGAACTCCCAGAGTTCACGGGAGAAAGATGAGGCTTTCTGCTACCGTAAAGATTTACAGCCTCGGCAACCCTATACAGGGTTGCTATGAGTAGGAACCTATTCCACGGCACACTACCACCAAGTAATATTTTTAACTATGACCTCTATGTACTTTATTATGTATGTACATGTGAGGGGGTGGGGTTTGCAACAACATCCAAAAAGCATATATATGCTTTGAACATGTATATAAGTGGCAGCATCAATGGGCTCAAGCGTGGCAGCAATTGTGAGGTTGGCCCAGTATTGGGCAGTGTTTCATTCTGTTGTGTATTGGGTTGATATGAGTCGGTACCAACTTGATGGCACCTAACAACAACAACAACATTTATACATATAGAGAGAGTCCTGGTGTGGCACTGTGGGTTAATGTGCTGGACTGCAAAATTAGTTTGAACCACAAAAAACTGGCAGTTCAAGCTCACCAGCCGCTCCTTATAAACCCTATACAGGGTCGCTATGGGTCAGAACTGACTCAACTGCATAACAGTAACATATATATATTGTTGGTGGTGGTTGCAAAATTATGAAAGTCATAGTAATTCCAAAAGGGCCCTTTTTTCTTATAAACACATTGTTGTTGTTGTTGTTAAGTACCGTGGAGTCGGCTCCAACTCGTAGTGACCCTGCCCAGGGTTTCCGAGGCTGTAAATCTTTATGGGAGCAGAACGCCTCATCTTTCTCCCGCGGAACCACTGGTAGTTTTGAACTGCTGACCTTGAGGTTGGCGGCCCGACTCGTAACCACTACACTACCAGAGCTCCTTTGTGAACATCTTGTGACTTGGTCAGGCTGTGTACACTGCACCTATATTTGGTGGTGTGTTTCCCATCACTGAAAAGAACAAATGTCTACTATCTAGAGAATGAGTCCCTTCTTCCCACCCCAGAACCCCTGTCTGTGGTAACCACCAATAAATGTTAGTCTCTTCATATATACCTATTCTTATCTTTATAAAATGAGATCATAAAAAATTTTTGTCCTTTTATGATTGGTTCAGAATAATACCTCCAAATTCAACCACATTATAGGGTCTTCCAAGTACACATCATTGTTCTTCATGGCTGCAGAATTTGATGAAGTTTGTGCAGGGAAAGAGGTTACAAGAGGGAGCCAAACCCAGAACACCAATTCCAAATGCTTGATTTTAAGTGGCATTTATAACATGGATACTATAGGGAAAGTCTGTCTGAGAAGGATTGCTCTGTACATGCAAGGACAGCCAGACTTCGTCTCTCATGTTGTGGACATGTTGTCAAGAGGGACCAGTCCGTGGAGAAAGGCCTGCTTGGTAAAGTGGAGGATCAGTGAACAAGAGGAAGACTCTCAAGATGGACTGACCCAAAGGCAGTAACAGTAGGCTCAGATGTAACACTTGTGAGGAGGGTGCAGGACCGGTAGGGTCTCATTCTATTGTGCAGAGGGTCACTGTGAGTTAGTACTGACCTGAGAGATTCTAACAACAACAACAAAGGATAGGGGGGCCAGCAGAACATGCTGGCAGAAAGACCAGTGTGTCTGAATGTACAGAAGTGGAAAGGAGCTTGGGATAGTTGTTGTTGAGTGCCGTTGACTTATGGGTGGTCGTGGTTGTGTGCTGTGGTTCTGACTCATAGCGACCCTGTAGAGGGTTTCTGAGGCTGTAAATCGCTACAGGAACAGAAAGCTTCATCTTTCTCCTGTAGAACAGCTGGTAGCTTTGAACTGCTGACCTTGAGGTTCTCAGCCCAACTCATAGCCACTGTGCTACCAGAGCTCCTTTGGGATAGTTTAGGACCCGGAAAGATACTGGCTTTAGTTAGAGATACTATTACAGAGAAGTCAGAGGCCAGCTTAAACAGATCTGAAGGAGATCACCGTGTTTCACTAAAGGAAAGAGGAAGTGGTGTGGGGTGACGGAGAATTGCCCTGGAATATTGAGAGCTGGATTGATTAACATCGGAGATTTCTGGGCCAAGACTGTAGCTTAACCCCCAGTGTTAACATTCTCTAAAGTAAAAGAGCGTTTGTAGAATATAGGTAATGATTATAGAAAAAAGGAGTTCACAGAGCCAAACGGGAATTCTCGTTTTCCAACTTGAGTGAGTACTGAAAGGTGTCGGGAGTGGGGCAGTGAGCAGCTTTGTGAGCAGTTTAGTCATTGGTGGTTTTAGTCAGACTGCTATGGAGTAGGCTTAGATCTTTCATGAAGCTCCCTGAAGCTTAAGAGGAGTAACTATTCGATTGCTACTCGAAGTGTGGTCTTCGGACCAGTAACTGAAATCATCTGCGTCATCAATCACGCTGACTTCTCCCTCCGTGAAGAAGTTTTCAGAGAAGGAAGCAGTATGTTGATTTATGTTTTGACTCAATCTCTTTATCTCATCATAGACTGGCCTGTGGGCTGGCACTGGGCCACACTTTGAACAACACTGCTCTACACCATTCCATTCCCCACCTACCTGGACACGAGACAGAGGGGAAGGCGTACCCTGGAGAGAGACTTCTAGGAAAAGAAAGCCTTCCTCTATTGGGAATCATTTGGCATCCGATTTAAGGCTGTCACTAGAAGTCAGTTGCTGGGGGTGATGAAAAGGATTTTTGGCCTGTATACTTGAGTCCAAAATCTTGGACTGTGGTCAGTCAACAACTGCGTTTGTCTGGGAGATTCTCAACAACCCAGACTATCCTAGAGGAGCAGCCCCATGGACACTGGCTCAGTTATTATTGTTAAGTGCCATTGAGTTGGTTCTGACTTAACAGCAACCTTATATAGGGTTTTGAAGGAGCAGCTGGTGAGTTTGAACCACTGACCTTATGGTTAGCAGTCCAGTGCTGATTCTACAGTACCACAGCGAACTCCCGTGAACACTGGTTAATTCCTCTGATGGACTATGAGTCGGTAATTTTTAGACCAAAAATCAGATTGTTTTTCTGATGGGAACCTGTAAGAAACTGGGGTCTTATTTTGCTTCTCATAAAATGGAACTTGATTGCAGCACATCTTGTCGTTAGAGATGCCTATGACGTGTAACAGCATGGTGGGGACAGACCCAACGTGGAAAAATTGAGAATCCTTGGAATTGCCATTAGTTTTCCTTTGGTTTGTTTCAGTCGTTAAACATAGCAAACTAGGACGTTCGTTGCCACCTATTGGGAGTGTTCACTTCGAATGTCTTAATTTTCTTTACTCTGACTACAACCGTTGTTTTTAGCATCTTCATATCCTTTCCTCATTGCTACTTTTTGACATTAGAAAAAATGCCAAAACCTTGACCTCCACATTTCTTTTTTTTTTTGTTTTTTTTAATCTAGACCAAACATTATTTTAATATAAAGAGCAAAAACTCTTTAAAAACATAAGTGTTAATTTATAAATTACAATATTCTGCTGAAGGTTTTTAATAAAATGAAGTGATTCATTGAAAGATACAGGAGACGGGAGAGCTACAAGCTTTCTTCTTCTTTTTTTTAAAGCTTTTATTGTGCCTTGAGTGATAGTTTACATGGGAGAACATCAGTTTTGCACTCATACTATTATATTAGTATCATTGCAATGATTACAATCCGCTCCATGCATCACCATTCAACAGTATTTACTTCTAGTCCCCCTGTTGTTGTTTTTTTGTGTGTATTTTTATGAACACAAAAACCATTCATGAATATATAATCATTTTAAAAACCCAAGGGCACATTCTGCAAGCCTGCCTCCTGGCCACCAGCATACAGCTTTTCTCTTTCCATGAGTCTAGAGTCCTCAGCTGCTCTGTCTCTCAATGTCATCATCTTTGCCTCCATCTCTGGTGTCATTACTTCTCTGGATTGGGTCCCATGTTCCGCTCATGCTCTTCTCCCTTGATGGTCCAAGGGTCCTCTGTTCCTGGACTGTAAGATTAACTGGTGGTGGTGGTTGCTGTGAAGTCAGTTCCAACTCACAGCTACCCTGCATAGGGTTTCTGAGGCTATAAATCTTTATGGGAGCAGAAAGCCCCATCTTTCTCCTGTGGAACCACTGGTAGTTTCGAACTGCCGACCTTGAGATTAGCAGCCCGATTCATAACCACTACACTACCAGAGCTCCTTGTAAGATTAACTACTCCCCTAAATTGATCCAGTTCCTGTCACTTCCCCCACCCCCAGGGTCATGCGGCTGCCCTCTGCTTCTGTTATCCCCTCGACATTTTGTTGTACTCCAGAGTTCTAACCTTGGACCCTAGTGCTATCTCCATGAGCAGTCTTATCAACCCTGATGCCTTCAATTCTGATCTGTAACTCTCACCGCCTCAACAATACCTAACCGATCACCCAGTCACGCTGATGTCGTACTGATTATGTCTCTTCAGTGTCGGTCAGCTCTGTGTCCTTGTTCTCGTCCCCACTCCTGCATCCTTGTCCAGGCTCACCGCATGTCATGGATCAGGCTGTGGCACCAACATCCTACCCTTTTTTTCTTTCTTTCATTTTTCATGTAATAGCTTCCAGGCTCATCCGTGTTGTGAGATATAGTTCGTTATTCTTTATTGTTGCATAGCAACATTGTATGTATATACCTCAATTTGTCTATCTAATCAATTATTGATGGACACTTAGGTGGCGGTGGCGTGTGTATTGTTGCTATTCTGAATAATACTGAGATGAACATGAGCATGCACGTGTCTATTTGTGTCACTACCCATATTTTTCTAGAATAGCTACATAGGAGTGGGATTGCTGGATCATATGGTATTTCTTTTGCTGTATCCATTTATTAATCCACTTTATTTTTTTGTGACTTGAGTGAAAGTTTACAGAACAAGATCATCAGTCCCACATTCAACCAATCATAGGCTTTGTATTATTACAATGACTGCAGTCCCTTCCAAGTACCATCAGTTCACAGTATTTACCTCTGTTCACTTCATTCTTACACTCTGCCCTGTGCCTCCCACTTCGTTTCCTGTGCCAGCTTCCCTTTTGTTGTATATTACCTTCCTCATTACCCAAGTTAACACCTGTTAACTACCCCTGAATAAATTTCCCTTACCTCCCACCCCTGGTAACCATCAGAAAATATCTCTTTTAGCAAGAAAACTGTTCTACCTCTTTCATATTCTATCTTTAATTCATTCTCCATAGTGGACCAGAGCACTCTGCCTCAAAATACCAATCTTTTAATGACCTTATCTCTTCATGGTTTTCCCTGGCTTCTAGGAAAGCCAGTCTTAGCATTGTTTACAGAGTCCTCCACAAGCCGGCCCTGTTTCTTTTTCTAACTTCATCTCTTCTTACTTTCCTGTCTGTACATTTGATTTTATACATGTCCAGGAATCCTTCCTCACCATTTTTCCCTGAGAGAAAGTGTCCCTTTTCCCTTCTGGAAACCTTCCTTGACTCCTCTACTCTGGATAGAACTCCCTTCCCCTTAATCTAGCACACTATTCAGCTTCATATTTGTAACACAATATGCTCACAATCTGTTTTTATGTAAGCGCTTCAAGATATGTGACAATCATGTTGTTGTTGTTAAGTGCCATTGAGTTGGTTCCTACTCATAGCAACCCTGTATAGGGTTTCTGAAGAGCAGCTGGTGGGTTTGAATTGCTGACCTTGTGATTTCACAGTCCATTGCTGATCCACAGTGCCACATGAGAAGTCCATGGCATTTATAGTGCCTAGCATACAGTTCAAGGCACTCAGTCCACAGCTGAAAAACCTCAGTTCAAATTCTGACCCCTTCCTTTGCCAGCTCTGTGAACACGAGCAAGTTAACCAATCTTTCTGTTTTTGAGATAGATGTTCTCTGCTTCAAGTGGTTCCTGGCCATGGGTCTAACGTAGCTGGTGTCATTTCTGCTTTCCCAGCAAACTGCCCTATGATGTAACTCCTGAGCAGGCTTTGGCTCATGATGAGGTCAGGACACGGCTAGACAACTCCATCAGGAACATGCGTGCCGTGACAGACAAGTTCCTCTCCTCCATCATCAGCTCTGTGGACAAAATCCCGTGAGTACCTTCAGTTGTCCTGACCCCAAATAGATCATGACAAATAGCCTTCTGCTCCTGGCCCTGCTCACTAAGTGTCATCCATCCACAGTTATGGGATGCGCTTCATTGCCAAAGTGCTGAAGGACTCACTGCATGAGAAGTTCCCTGATGCTGGTGAGGATGAGCTGCTGAAGGTAAGACTGAGTGCAGCTTCCTGCCCTTCCCATAATAAACCTTCTGAGGAAATAGTTATAAAGTAGGACGTGGGGGGAAAAATGAACAACCTAAGCTTGACCTGTAGAACATTATCAGACCTGAGTGTAGATTCGGGAATCCTGGTGTGGCGCCATAGGATAAACACTCGACCTCAACATCAGTTTGAACCACAAGGTTGGCAGTTTGAATTCACCAGCTGTTCCTCAAAAACCCTCTGCAGGGTTGCTCTGAGTCAGAACCGACTCGACGGCACTAAACAGCAGTAGATTCTGGCTGCAGCTGGCCGTTGATTGTGAGCTTTTTGAAAACAATTGTAAGTAGTAAATGACATTCGTCTCTCTTAAGATGAGTATGTAGTTTGGCACACAGGCATCAAACAAGTAAAGAAACGTGGATTTTTTTTCTATCTTGAGATAAATTTCTTTGAGCCCTATCTTTTCGCTGAAGAATCGCTCCCTCTACTGGTGGCCAGGTGATTAGCAGCAGGCTCATGATTTCTGCTAAAACTGCTGCTGGTGATTCTTTCTGACTCTGCTGTGCTCCTTCCTTTTTTTTTTTTTTTCTTAATCTGAACGCTTTTTCTTCTCTCTCCTAGTTCTGTGCTTTCCTACAGTGAGACCTCGATTCTAGACTTTCAGTTCAGGTGAATGACTTTTTTTTTCTGAATGAAATTAGGGGAAATGCTGTGACTGTCCTTGAACTCTTTTGTTAAAAAAAGATGTCGATTGAGTGGCTTTAATTTCAGAGGCCTGTATTTGGCCCTTGGAGTATGCAGCATGAAGAGGGTGGGGGTTGGGCAGATGACAGTCTATCCATCAGGTTGTGTTTAAGGACTTCTTTGAGCTATATTTGTCAGCTTACAATGAAAGCCCACCTACATGAAAGTACACATGCATGTGGATAGCAGCAACCGCGCTGTGCCCTACAACACCTTCTGACTCGGCTCTTTCATAAGTTATCTCTAGAGAGACTTTCTACTCTTTTTTTTTTTTTTCCTTCTGCATCTAACAAAGGGATGTTTCATGATTTTAATTCCAGTCCTTGAGAGAAACTGTGTGTAGTTTTTGTTTTTTCCCTCACAGGACTGAATTTTCTGGTTTTCATTGCTAACCAAATCCTTTTTGGCTTACTTGTTGGTGTGGTTTTTGATGCCATCTTTTTGCTTTATCTGTTTCCAGATTATTGGTAATTTGCTTTACTATCGCTACATGAATCCAGCCATCGTTGCCCCTGACGCCTTTGACATCATTGATTTGTCCGCTGGAGGTCAGCTTACTACAGACCAACGCCGGAATCTGGGCTCCATTGCCAAGATGCTCCAGCATGCCGCTTCCAACAAGATGTTCCTGGGGGACAATGCCCACTTAAGCATCATTAATGAGTATCTCTCCCAGTCCTACCAGAAATTCCGGTAAGGGGAAAGAGATAAGCCTCTTGGAAGATTCTGGAGATGTGTGTTTATCTCTGAAGGGAAAAATAAAGTATTAAATACCACACCCTACATGTTGTTTGTTATACTCAAAATTCAAGAAGACAATGAATTCCTTCTGAAGAGGATTTTTGAACTTTCAAAATGTACTCATGTCAAATACGTAGTACTCTATGTAAAAATGATGGTTCTGCATTGGGGACATACTGTTTGGTACTCAGACAAAAGTTGAAGAGTGCTTTTAGTGTTAGTGAATGAACGTTCCTTTTGGAGTTCAGTATCTCAGAGCATTGTCTTAGAGGTAAATTGCTTCTCCTCACGGTACCAGTGCCTGAGAATGTTTTAAAGCATAGCTGAATGGGTCTTGTGCTTGGTTAGAAGTGGAGCTAGGTGGAGCGAGACGTTATTGGATTCTGCCCCCCAAGCTGGTCCATGGCACAGCTTCACTAGAATTCTCTCCTTGACTGGGTTTTTATCTGAACTCATTGCTTAAGAGGTTTGTGGGCTGTCTTCTTATCACGTGTCATTAATTGGGGTGATCCCTGTGCTTATTTCCAGACGATTTTTTCAAGCTGCCTGTGATGTCCCAGAACTCCAGGATAAATTCAATGTGGACGAGTACTCTGACTTGGTAACCCTCACCAAACCAGTCATCTACATTTCCATAGGTGAAATCATCAACACCCACACGGTAATTGTGTTTCTTGAATTACTTAATTACCTTGCTTTGCCCTTAATTGACTGCTCTTGCTGCTGGAGTACCTTTTCTGGAAGCCAGGTCTCTCACTTTCCTTTCATCTTCGGACACCACCTCTGTGTGGGATTTCTCCTCCTCTGCTTATTATTTTGTAACAATACTCAGATCTGCTGCTAAGATTTTCCCAGTGATCCCCAGATCACCTGCATCAGAATCCTCTGAGCTGGTCGGTAAAATGACGTTTCCTGACCACACCATAGGTCTACTGAATCAAAGTCTAAACTCTCCATAGCAGGCACTGGTTTAGTGGCTTGATAAAATCCTGTTTTTACTGTTTTCCTATTTACCCCAGCCTGCTGTATATTGTTTGGGTTTTTAGCTGCTGCTTCTGTGTTACATTGGAGTGACTGTTCCTTGCATTCCCTTTTTCTTCAAATTTTTCTTCATTCCTTTCCCTTTGGGGGGGCATAAAGAACAGGAAATGAGGATGTATGTAAAATGTAAGTGTCATTTCAGGTATTGTAGCCTCTCGAAGGCTTGGTTGGGTACCTGAAGGTAATGCTAACATTGAACCCAGAGGTGCACTTTTCTCTGAACTCAAGGTAGACACTGAAAACTCAAAACATGAATGAGTGTGACTGACTTAATTGATAGTAGTGTACATGGGTGAGTTTCGAGAGTGAAGTCTGGATTTTGTTCTTTCTTAAGTAGGGAGCATTTCTATGTAGGAATCTCCTGTGACTGGAGACTAAGAGTGAATGCCTATATTTCCTTTCTATTCTCATAATAACGCATGTCACCCAACAGAGGCCTTTGAGATGGTGCTTTATATATTTATCATTTTTCACTTGTGTTAGTTTGCTAAGGATTAGCCCGTCAGTTCTTTGACTGTGTTGCTGTTGTTAAGTCCCATTGAGTAGGTTCTAACCCATAGCAACCCTGGATAGGGTTTCCAAGGAGCAACTGGTGGATTTGAACCACTGACCTTGTGGTGAGCTGTCCAATGCTTATCCCTAGTGCCACCCTAGGACTCCTCTTTCAATATAGGAACGTTGTGTAGACCACTGTTAGGCACGGTGGGCCAGGCTGGGGGCTAGGGGCTGAATGTGTAATGGAAGTGGATCATCTGGCTGTTTTGATGCAGCTCCTGCTAGATCACCAGGACGCCATCGCTCCGGAGCACAATGATCCGATCCATGAGCTGCTGGACGACCTTGGGGAGGTGCCCACCATCGAGGCCTTGATAGGTAAATGTCGGGCTTGGCCTCAAGGTGGGAGGGGAACGTGACAGAGGAATGTTATCGCTGTCACCATCTGTCTCCACACTGCGCCGAGTGCTGGGTCTAAATTAGGGAACATGGACCAATATTCACAAGTAATCACGTATTTAGAAATCATGGTAAGTTCTCCAGAGGAAGTGAGCAGTATTTTGAGAATTGTAATACAGCGTTGGTTGGAATAATTTGTCAAACATGCATGGAATTGTTTCATTGTACTGCCTTTGCCTTCCTCATTTGGTGTAACGTTGATTTCTCTGTAAATGCGGGCCCTGCTACACTGTATGTGTTGGCGTACCCTGGTATCTTAGGCTTGTGCCATCTTTAATTTGTATTTGTTTTTCTCTGATATCGCCTCTCTTGATTATACTGACTTTTTTCTACTTTCCCAAAACTTCAGGAGAAAGCTCTGGCAATGTAAATGACCTGAATAAGGAGACGTTGGCTAAGACAGAGGTCTCTCTCACACTGACCAACAAATTTGATGTACCTGGAGATGAGAATGCAGAAATGGATGCTCGGACTATCTTGCTCAAGTGAGTGTGCAGGTAGCAAGAGTAACATGAGAGGAACCTAAGATCCCCTAGCTTGGAGACCAGTCCCACTTGATCTTCCCTGAAACAATCACCTTGGCCTTTTGAGCCTGTCATCCTTCTGGCCACCTCATATAGCATACTTTTCTGCCTTGTTTTGTTCATAAAATGCTAAAATGGCACTTAAACCTTGGAAACCTGACCTTGATACCCACTCTGTTACAAGCTGGATAAATAGGCCTTGAGTGCCTTGGCTGAAGTACTGAAGCAACCGGCCACCTCACCTCTGCGAGGTCATGGTTGCAGTGTCACTGCGTACTTCTATTTGAGAAGTAAAAAGTTTGAAAATGTTTAAACTCTTTCTCTTATTTTCAGCACAAAACGTTTAATTGTGGACGTCATCCGATTCCAGCCTGGAGAGACTTTAACTGAAATCCTAGAAACACCAGCTACCAATGAACAGGTAAATTTAGGGTTTGGTCAGGTGGAGAGATATATGGCAGGCTTGGAGAGGAGCGGGGACAAAGCTAACAAGGCCACGGCCTGGTGACCGAGGGGTTGTTCTTGTAGTTACTGCGTGTTGTGCCGTTGAGTCGGTTCCAACTCATAGTGACCCTGTATAGGGTTTCCAAGGAGCAACTGGTGAGTTTGAACCTCTGGCCATGTGGTTCAAACTGACCTTGAGGTTGAGTGCTTATTCTATGGCACCACACCAGGACTCTATTGTTGTTAAGTGCTCTGGAGTCAGTTTTGACCCCTAGTGACCCTGAATAGGGTTTCTGAGAAGTAGCTGGTGAGCCTGAACTGGCCACTTTGCGGTTCAAGCTGACTTTGCAGTCCAGTGCAGTAACCCACAGCGCCACACCAAGACTCCATAGGAGTGGCTATGACTGGAGTGTGGTGGTGGTTAGAACTAGTCTGAGAAAGCTGTTGGTTCCCATATTCAGAGGGAAATGTTCTTAGACCACAGAGCTCACTGGTACTTTACGTGCAGAGAGATTGTGTGTGTGTGTGTGTGTGTGTGCGTGCGTGCGCGCACGCGTGCGTATGTGCATGTGCTCGCACCTGCGTACACATTATTACAGTCATGCGTGTGGGCAAAATCAGTATTTAAGGACCCCTGGGGGCGCTATAGGATAAGCACTGGACTGCTAACCACAAGATAGGCACTTCAAACACACCAGTGGCTCTGAGGGAGAAAGGTGAGGCTTTCTGCTCCCATAAAGCCTTCCAGCTTGAGAAACCCTGCCCAGGGTCAGTCGGGGTCAGAACTGACGAGATGGCAGTGGACTAGGTTAGATGACCCAGTATTTACTGAATGTTCGATTGGAGAGTTCAGGTAAGTGCCCTGGTGCTTAGAACAAGAGGACAGGATGTTGTTTGTAAACTTAATGAACTCATGATCTGCTTGGGGAAATATGACAAATATGCATGAAACAATTAGAAAAACAATTAAAAATTAACTATGGCATTGACGTTAAAAACAATGGAAGCTCAGGAAAGAAACCAGGAAGGCTTCAGAAAGGAAGTGGAACTTGAGCCAAGCTCAGCTAAAGGATGCCTAGGATTTGGTGGGCATATAAGGCCAGAGAGGGCGTTCTAGGCAGTAGGAGGGCACAAGAGAACAAAGGTATAAAGGAAGGGGACAACGTAATGTGGCCACACCTCCTCATGCAGAGTGAGGGTTTGGGTGGAGAGGAGTAGTGAAAAGTAAAAGACGAAACTAAATCATGCAGCATCTAAAAGCTAGACAGGAGCCTTTGTTAATGAATCTGAGCATGCGATCAGAGCTGAGTGTCGCTGAGTCATGTAAGTGTGTGGGAAGGTCCAAGACCCAGTCAGGTGGGGGTTGGGTGCCATGGGAGTGGAAAGGGATGAATGAGTCAATTCATGTAGAAGACCCTATTTCTCATTGATCAAATGAGAAAATTAGATAGTTGTTTTTAAATTTTGAGTATCGGAATCCTTTCCATTACATGACAACTTACTTAGCAGTCCAGCATAAAAAGCGAGTGAAATTGGAACTACTTTGGTAGCACCAGGTGCTTGCAACCCAGCCCTCCTGGATTCTGTGGTCCTCTAGAAACCCATTAAGGGTTTCAGGTGAATTCTCAGCCTTTAGTTGCTTTGATTGATTACTGATTAGATGTGAGTGAGAGACAATAAAACATCATCACCAGACTTGCTTACCCAGAGAGGAAGTTTGAAGTAGGGAAGGAAGATTCGTCCTTCTGTACTGAGCAGCTAGCTAGCTACTATATATATGTTTGGTGTGTCCTTGTGAAGTAAGTTATTTTCATCCTCATGTCACAGATGAGGGATTAAGACACTGAGAGGATAAATAACTTGCCCGAGATCACCGGCTTGTAGTGTCAAACCTGATGTGGATCCTCTGTACATTCCATATGCTAGCAGTTCAAACGAAATACTGAGAAATGAGGTTGTTCTAGTTTGGGGAATTTTACACATTTGACCTACAAGCTTACAAGTTTGAAAGCTGTATAAATTCAGGTGTGGATGTGCCGGGTAGGTTTAGGACCAGCGTGGTAGACTTCCTTTTTCTCATTTGTAGGAAGCAGAACATCAGAGGGCCATGCAGAGACGTGCTATTCGTGATGCCAAAACTCCTGACAAGATGAAAAAGTCAAAATTTGTAAAAGAAGACAGCAACCTCACTCTTCAGGAGAAGAAGGAGAAAATCCAGTCCGGGTTAAAGAAGCTAACGGAGCTTGGGACCGTGGACCCAAAAAACAAATACCAAGAACTGATCAACGACATTGCCAGGGTACTGCATTGAGGGATAGTGTGGGCCCGAAATGGTTGAAAACCGTGTCTTAGAGGCTTGTAAAGGAGACAGTAGCTGCTCAGATAATAACGTACCTTCCGTTCAGGGGAGGATTCGTCTCCTCTCCTCTGGGAAAAGGCTCCTGGCTCTTCTGACAGGAGGACCTTCTTACCCACCTGAGATGGCTTCTTCTATGGCCTAGATTAATAGAGAATTAAACTCTCCTGTCTGTGCATTTGTCTTCAGCCTGAAAGAATTCTTCCAGATCTGTGTAAACGATTCCTGTGAAACTGAGTTCAGCTCAGGTTGATCATTGAGGCCTTGATTTGGGTTGAATCCTCACAGTGAGGAGCTGCGGTGCAGCTGGGTTGGCTGTGGAGCGTCCTCTCCTGTAGTGGTGGGACAGGGCCATGCACAGCTGGGAGCTGGATTGTTGGTCCAATAAAAGTCACTTCTCTACTGTCTCCTGATAAAGTATCTGTAGCTTTACAGGTAGATTCCAGAATGTGGAGGTCTGTAAATGTAACACATTGCCTGACTTGGAGAAGATACAAATAGCCCCAAAGAATGTCTGAGCTGTGAATTTCTTGATTGATTTCTCCACATGACGTGGTGCCTGCTGTGAATGTGAGGTCTAGTTCAGGCAGAACTTCCAGTGCTGGAGTCGTGTGAAGTGCTGATGATTTGTGGAGCTCATGATGCGATGCCTATCCTCATTTTCCTAATTTTAATATGTCTCAGGATATTCGGAATCAGCGAAGATACCGACAGAGGCGAAAGGCTGAGCTGGTCAAATTGCAACAAACTTACTCTGCTCTGAACTCTAAAGCCACCTTCTATGGGGAGCAAGTGGATTACTATAAAAGTTATATCAAAACCTGCTTGGATAACCTAGCCAGCAAGGGCATGTGAGTTTTCTTTGTTTTACATGGGGGGTGAGGGGGGTGGAGATAACTGAAGTGGCATTAAGAGTCTTCCCTTAAAACCACTGGCTGTACTGGCTGCATTAGTCTTTGATTTGGCTCCTAACAGCCTGTGTAACGGCCCAGTTCTGTTTGCTTGTGTCTGATGTAAATAATGCATGGAGGATTCCAAGGATGCTTATTTCTAAGCATCTCTTTGTCCAAAATGTCTGCCATGGCACTAGAAACGATAGAGTTATAGGAGGACATCTTGTAGTGGCCCTAAACTGAATATGCCTCAAGATCACTTACTAAGGGATACCTCCTGGGCACAGGACCAGACTGACTTTTTGCTGAGTGCCGAGGGACATCTGATACAACCTCCCTCCTTGACTCAGGCCACCGGTCACCCAGTCCACCTGCTGTGCCGGGATGGAAACTGGAACGCCCTAAGAGGTGAAGTTCTCTTCACAGAACAAATGCAGGTTCTGTTGTAGGGTTTGATTCTTTTTTTAACTCCTAACTTTCCATTTTAAGAATTTTTCAAACGTCAGAAAGGTTGAATGAATAAATAATAAACACCCATATACCCTTCACCTAGATTTCATCTATTTTTACTCTATTGGTTGCAGCTCTCTGTCCCTCTGGTTCATTCATCCTCTCATGCATGCTCTCTGGCTCGCTTGCTGGCTAGCTCACTTACTGGCTCTCTCACTGCCCCTCCCTCCCGGGAAGGCTTTCTAGAAAGAGATACAAAGTGGCTCCTGGTAACCCAGCTCATAGCTGCCTCCCTCAGTGTTCATCCTTTGAGCACTTCCTTACTGGCAGAGTGTTTCTGCATATACAGTCCAGGAGTCAGCTGTGTCTCCAGGGAGTCCTGGTCCCTTTAGTGAGGAATGAGACTTCGAACCAAGATCCAGGCCCTAGGTCTGCTGTAGTGCTCTGGAGCCATCATTGCTTCTTAGCCTCTGAGCAGATACCCTGACCTTCAGTTTCCTAAATGGTTCCAGAGTATTCCAGTGTGTAGACAGAGACTGCAGTTTATTCCATCACTTCTCCAGTGACGGACTTTTACATTGTTTTTATAGGTGTGTGTTATTATTTAAATTGCCACAACAAATAACTTCTATATGTGTGGGCATATTTACAAAGAGAAATTCCTAAACGTGGACTTGCTGAGTCAGAAGTGTTGTGCTTGTGTGATTTGGGTAGATATTTTCACTTGCCTCCCAAAGGGATAATCCCCAGTTCTTCTGCCGCCTACCAGTGAGGAGCATTAATGTCCCTTTTCCTAAATCATGGGTCTTACTCCTCTTTGTCTTTTCCGTCTTGTCTTTTCTTAGCACTCTTGCCTTGTTTGTCTTCAGTAGCCACCTGTCTTAGGTATCTAGTGCCGCTGCAACAGGAACACCACACGTAGGCCACTCTAACAAACTGAAATTCATCTTCTCACAGTTTTATTGTTGTTAAGGGTCATTGAGTCAGTTCCAACTGATAGCAACCCTATATAGGGCTTCTAAGGAGCAGCTGGTGGGTTTGAACCTCCAAACTTGTGGTTAGCATCCAGTGCTTATCCTGCAGCACCACACCTGGACTTCTCACAATTTTAGGAGGCTCAAGGTCCAAATCCAGGGGGCTTGGTCTCAGGGAAGGCTTTCTCTCTTCTGTGGAGTAAGGCCCTTATCTCTAGTCAAGTGCACTTATCTTTCTTTACTTCTTTCCCTTACCTTGTGTAATCTCTCTTTTCTATCTCAAAGGAGGAGATTGGGGAGATTAAGACACATCCTACACGAATCCTGTTTATTAGCATAACAAAGATAACCTAGTTTCAAATGGGATTGTAACCAAAGGCATTGCTGTTGTTAAGTGCTGTTGAGTTGGTTCCAACTCAGAGGGACCCTGTATAGGGTTTCCAAGGAGGTGCTGGTAGATTTGAACCACCAACCTTGCAGTTCAAACCAATTTTGCGGTCCAGTGTTTATCCTATAGTGCCACACCAGGACTCCAAACCAAAGGTATAGAGGTTAGGATCTACAACACATGTTTTGGGGAAAACATAATTCAAAAAAGAAACATTCCCATTCTTCTGTAATTTCCACATTAGATTAAATTCTCGGAAAAATTATTTATTCTAAATTCTTTTTTTTTTTAATTTCTCTTCACACTTGAGGGCTAGACTGTCTCCTTTACCCCTGGGATTTTGTAAAGTTCCCTCAGGCTGGTATTAGAAGCTTTTACACTTACTTGCTATGTGAGAGGAACATAGTCTCAAATATCACTTAAAGACAAAGACAATTTGATAATATTTCCTGTGTTTTGCAGTCATATTGCTTGTTGTTGTTAAGTGCCTTTGAGTCGGTTCCGACCCATAGCGACCCTGTACAGGGTTTCCGAGGCTGTAAATCTTTACAGGAGCAGAACGCCTCATCTTTCTCCTGTGGAGCAGCTGGTAATTTCGAACTGCTGGCCTTAAGTTTCGCAGCCCGATTCGTAACCACTATGCTACCAGAGAGGACCCTAATATTTGTTTTAGAATTGGCATGTTACTTATGCTTGTATATGGAAAGTTTATAACTTGACTTCATATCCTTATCCAACAAAGATTCAGAGTAGATCATTACTTAACAAAAAGTGATTTCTTACAGGGTCTCAAAAAAGCCTAGAGAAATGAAAGGAAAGAAAAGCAAAAAGATTTCCCTGAAATATACAGCAGCAAGACTACATGAGAAAGGAGTTCTTCTGGAAATTGAGGACTTGCAGGCGAATCAGTGAGTATTTTATTTTTTGTTTTTATAAATTTGATTTTTTTTGTAAACATCTATTAGCACTTTCATTGTTTCCTATATTTCTCTTTTCTAGATCATTCTTATATCTTTATGTCTATGTTTTTATGTGCGAATTAAGCCTCATACTCATAGGGAATTTGTCTGTCATAAAAGGGAACGCTTCTCTTGCATTTCCTTGTTTGTGGAACGTTTGTCTCAGGGTGTGCCCATACCTGTTCGTGTGGGTCCCATCTGCATATTTTCTCTTTAAAGCAGGAAGCTGTTCCATTTCTTCTGTGCATGAACCATGAATAAATAAAAGTAACAATAACAGGATGTTTACTTTATTCCACTTAGACTAGGAACCAGGGACTTACCCTCATTTTTCGGTTCTGGGAAGAGCCAGCTTGCTTGGCAACATGGGTCCTGGGTCTGACCCAATTGTCCTCCCCCAGGTCTGGGTCCAGCTGTCATTAGCAAGCACGCTTTGTATTTTTCGTATTCTAAAATAATGTATATTCATTACTGAACTCTGAAAATATGAATAAGCATAAAGAAAAGGCAAAAAAGCACCTACAATCCCAGAAGGCAGAGATAAGCAGTGAAATAGTTTTGGTAGATTATCTTCTCTGTCTCTACTCATATCAAACTTGCCTCCCGCCTCACTTACCTACCTTATCTACCTATTCACTATTTTGTTAAAAAAAAGGGAGGGGGGTTGGAATCATACTATTTATAGGTATGAATTCAACTTCTTTTTTCACGGAATGTTGTGAGCAGTTTTTTATTCTTTGAAAGCATCCTTTTTAATGAGTACAAAATATCCCACATTGTAAGTAAAATATATTTAACCTTTTACCTAATATAAGACATTTAATAGGTTTTATTTACTCCTTCCATTGTTGCACTAATACTGTGACAGCACTTTTGGTGTGTGTGTGAATTGAGTGATAGTTACAATGGAGAACATCGGCTTTACACCATCGTTTTATTGCAATGATTATAATCTGCTTCATGCATCATCATCCAACGGTATTTGCTTACATTCCCTGTTTTGTTTTTTTTGTTTTTTTGGTTTTGGCTGGGGGGTGAGGGTGGGGAATGTACACAGAAACACTCAGCACTCAGTCCCTCTCTTTCCAAGAGTCTAGAGTCCTCAGCTGCTCATACTCTCCATGTCCTCACTCTGCCTCCATCTCTGGTGTCGCTGCTTCTCTGGATAGGGAGGGTCTCGCATTCCACTTGATGGTCCCAGGGTCCTCTGTTTCTGGACTGTAAGATTAACTACTCACCCCTTTTTGTTAAGAAAACTTCTACCTTTATAGTTGTGACAGTCAAAATTAGTCATTATAACAATTTCTCACTGTTGAATCATATGAATCGTATCCCCATCTCTTTTCCCCAGACCCACCTAGGCAAAATGAAAACTATTCAGTGGGGATTCTACCTTCCCCCACACACTCTTAAACTAAGCTCCCTCTTGAAAACTTGTAAGCCTGTCACTTTGTGCCTTTATAGCCCCCTCATTTTAGGTAGCCAGTGCCTAAGTTGCCTGTCCCTATCTACCCTGTATACAGAGGAAATAGAATTGATACTTGATGTGAAGACTCCTTCCCTCTCAGTTGGTAGTTTTAGCTACTACATCCATAAGTATAGGTCAAGTTCATCATATTGTAGCAATTTATACTCTTTGTCAAAAAATTTTTTTCTATCTTCCTCTAGTCAAGTTCTGATAATCAAACCATCGAGGCTAGGTCAAATGGGTACTATTGGCAAGTTTGGCCATTCTTGTACATCTCCCCTAACTTCATATCAGCTGGATGCTTCACTCTCAACTCTAGCCCTCCATGGCTGTGTCCTTGTCCATGGGTTCAGGAGTCCCCAGGTCTCACCACCCTGTGGACCATCCAGCCCTTCCTCTTCTCTCTCTCATCTCCATCCAGGTTCATCTCCATCCAGGTCAACAGGAGTCTTTGGAATGTAGTTGAACTCAGCCCATTTCTTCATTGCTACCTTTCCCCTTCTTCCACTCACCAGTAGACCAATGTGGTTGCCAGCCAGCTTACGTGGCTGCTCATGTGTTCCCTTTGAGTTTCAGTCTTGGAGGGGGGTTTGTGACAACACACTTTTATGACTCTTTGATCCTATCTTCGAATTTTCTTTGTTAGAATTTTTGTTATGTGCCATCTACATGGTTCTGACTCACAGGAACACTATATAGAGTTTCCAAGCCTTTTAAAATCTTTGTGGGAGCCGAAAGCTGCATCTTTCTTTCACAGAGTGGCTGGCAGGCTCCAATCACAGACCTTTTGGTTTGCAGTCTATTGTGTGTCTTACAGAGCCACCCTGCTCCCACATTTATGTATGTTGTTGTGAAGTGCCATCGAGTCAGTTCCAACTCATAGTGACCCTGTATAGGGTTTCCAAGGAACAGCGAGTGGGTTTGAACCATTGACCGTGCAGCTAGCAGTCCAGTGCTTATCCTACAGCACCACACCTGAACTCCACATTTATATATAAATATATATAAAAATCCTAGAGCACTTACGAAAATAGCTCACGGGGGGAGACCACAGATGGGGGAAGACCCACATAAAATGCATTTATTTGTGTGCGTGTGAGAGAGATTCAAGAGCCCCAGCAGTAGTGATTAAGTACTGTGCTGGGGACTGGAAGGTCAGCAGTTCAAACCTACCAGATGCTCCAGAAGAAAAAGACGTGGTAGTCTGCTTCCGTAGTGATTTGCTCCGTCCTAGAGCATTTCTGTGAGTCCAAATCAACTCGACAGCAATGGGCCAGGGTGTTTGGAGGGGTCATAGACAGGCTGTGTCCTTTGATTACTAATGATACCCTTCCTAAGTCTGTCTTTAAGTCCTAAGTCACAATAATGATGTGTGTTTCATATCTGTTGTTGTTGTTGTTGTTAT